GTTTCACTGAGCACTGTGATTCTGAGTTTCCTACCACCATTTGTCTGTACTGCATATTACCTCGCTTCACCATCCCCACTTACGCTTTCCGTGGCCATACGCCCAACAGCCCCAGTGAAGGTTTTGGGCTTTAGTTCAAATTGGCCGGTTATGTCGTGGCAGTTCTGCTGCCTCTCCAGATCCATTATTCTGGCTCCACACTTCCTGCAGTTTGAAGATTTTTTGTCACGTTCTAGGCAGGAGGCTTTCTGTTATGCCCTCACTCGTATTGTTCTTGCCCGCCACTTTTAAATCCTATCGGTCAGGTCTTGTGACATCTGATATGTTCTCCACGGGAGATAAAGAGCCCTTGTAATTTTGGATCCCTACCAGTGCTCCCTTAGGTGTGATGAAGTCTACTTCGTTAGTGTCCACTGTTTAGGTCACCGTCCCTTTTCCAGGTAATTCCTATTAATCACAACCCCCAGCAGTCATGTTCTCATTCTGACTATAGTACTATGATCATGCCTGACGATATGCTACCCACTAGTTGGGAATAATAATAATTATTATTAAGATTGTTATGAGACATCCCAGGAATCTAACATTTATGGGATACGGATTTAGGGGCGAAAATTTCTCGGAGTCGGGGACCCTTTGCAGATCAGCGACATTGTTTGCAGCATTTGCAATGTACTTTCAATGTCGTTGAGTTTGCAGTTCAACTAGGAAAGCCATGCAATACTGTGGCGTTTCTCGGTCGTTGATCAGGTGGCTGTTGATCTGTTCGCCGAGCTTGGTTCGGCGAATGATTTTGTGAAGTAGAAAAATATGGCATCCGATATAAGTCCTTCGTCCTTAGTTTGGATGAAGTTGTCCATAAATACGAGCATGTTCTTCACGCAAGGACAATTTGGGAGAAGTTCATGTTGAGCTGCAGATATCAGGTTGCTACGATAGCTCACTTCAGTATGCGCTCCATCATCTTGCACGGCACACTAGTGAGGCCTATAGGCCTGTAGCTGCCAGGCGATAATCGGTCACCAGTTTTGTAGATTGGCGTAACAATCGTTTCCTTCTAAGCAGGGGAAGGCGGCCTTCGTCAAGCGACTGAGTGCGGAGTAGTTGTTGTATTCCTTTCTGCACTTCATGGCTTTTTATTTTGGAGGCACTCTGCAGCCGGGTTTGAGGTGGGCTATAATTTCCCCATGACAGCCAGGCCGGGAATAGCGCACCAATAATTTCTATCTAATGGGCAGTTAATACGTCCAGTAATTTTATTCTTCACGGGGAGTTGAGGGTATGTTGAAACCACATGCTTGCATGCTGCAGGGATGGGGGCGGCATTTCGTTCTCCGGGTTACTCGGGGTAGATATTTTAGGCTTAGCAGCTCACTGTCCATGCACTTGTTTGCGCCACTCTAGACAGTGTGCTGGTGACACAAGGGATACCAGGAGAGAATGACATTGTGTCTCCCGTTCAGTGGTGAAATTATAGTAACCCCATCAATCATGTCCCCTTCGTTGATGTCGATGAGGTCCGGGTTGATTAGCGTTGGCTTGAATGGGATCTCAATGAAGTATTGCTCATCTTTGAGTGCACCCAAGATGACTTTTGAGCGGTTTAAATAGATAATATATTGTCCTGTAGGTGATGTGGTCTTGTTTCAAAGGAATTGTCAGGAATACCTCATCTTCCTCCGAAGACAAGAAAAAGATCCTGCCGTGCAAAGTCACTTCGCACACTTGGTAACAGGGACGGTTATTCACGTGCCTTGGTGCATTTTCTTTTTCATCAAATCTATGGGCCAGCGCGTATTGAATGGTATGGATTTTTAACACAGAATGAATGCACACCAGCGATATATCTTGTCAGGTTAATCATCTTTGTCATAGTACACACCCATTCGCCAACATAAGCCACACCAACGTAGTCGGGTGCCCACTGAGACTAGAGTCAAATTTAAATGAATGCTGAGAAAACGGATGTCCAGCAAATATAAAACTCGAAACTCATTGTCCCACTTGCCTTGCTTGACACCAGTTCTGTGTCCTTGTGCGACTACTATAGGCAGATAGATCGCTTACCCAGTTTTTCTCCGAGTTTGTATGTTACAACTGTCTCAAACAGTGTCATACATCCTAATAACTGCAGGACATCGTATATTAGAGGGACTATATCCTTAGTCTCAAGACAAGGAATTCGGTGCAAAGGCTTGCTTTTGATCACGGTGCTAGATGACAAAGTGGTTGTTCTTTCGAAGCCTTTTAGGCAGCCAAACACAAAGGACGGAGATGTCCAATACGAACTCCTTTCACTGAATAAGTACATCGTGCCTCTCACACCAACGACCGACAAATCTTTATTCCAACTCTCTGACACCAATTAACTCACGTTGTCCCTAGCGACCAGGCTCCTTTTATTGATGAGCGGAACACATGCGGAATCTCAACGATTGTAATGCTCAACCCAAACTTCTGTGTAATTCAGTGGTAATTATGGAGTCTTCTTGCCCTAGTGTCACAACTATCGAACCGATTTTGACTCCACACATTGAAAACCACCAATACTGTGTTTTTGGTCAGTACTTTTGGTTAAGCATGTGAAGCCAACAGGGTAACTCCGAATAAGATTTAGTCAGTCACGTTGACCGCGGATGAGATGAAAGCAAGACAAAAGTAATCGCGGTTTAATAAATCACGCGAAACTCACCAAACTGGACTCAACTAACCGATTAACTGGGAGGAGTATAACCTAAATTGGCTTCCTAAGTTTGCCACCAAAGACAATTCCACTTGTTGGTGCAACGCGACGGTCAGGTGACACAACAATAATACTGCCGTGCATGGATGCACAAGGGACCAAAATCAAGGATGAGCATTGCAAACTGTGCCTAGTATAAGAGGCCAGACAGCTATTTTAAACTCCCTACAGAAAGTGAAATCTTTCTGGCGTGCACATCAATGGAGACTTAGTCTTGTAAATGAAGCCTGGCCAGCTGAGGAACACCTTACAGCTGTTTCCTCCTTATTGGGGGTCATAAACGCTGCGTACCTCGCTGATCTCCAGAGTTACAAGTACGCCACTGCAAGCCAGTAGTTTGATGACTTGACCGTTGAACCATGAAGATGCTTTGCGAATGGACAATACTAAATATGATTAAGCTAGAAACGTTTACCAAAAACAGCATAAACACACCTATTGTCTGGATGGAATCCCCACAGCACACTGGCAGAACACTTGTCGGATCCTTACCTAAGATCCCAACAAACCTGACAGTGTAGAATTAAGCTGTAAGGAACCTGGAAGATTAATAATAAAATTACATTTTACCTGTGATGTCGCAGGCCTGTCAGACTATAG